TCAGAACTGCCTTAATTCTTCGTTGTTGTGTTGGAAACATTCCTCAGAGACTTTGGTCCATATTGACATGATAGCATCACGCGGTTTCTGCAGATTTGTCGGCCCCACATCAGTGATGTGAATCTCCCGTTCCACCACATCCCAAAGGCGCTCTGAGATGTGGAGGCTGTGGAGGCCGCTGGAGTACAGTGAACTCATTGTCATGTTCAAGAAACCAGTTTGAGGTGATTTGACCTTTGTGACATTTGATTTGACTGGGGACACTGTGGTCATAAAGGGCTGGACATGGTCAGCAGCAACACTCAGGTAGGCTGTCGCTTTTAAACGATGCTCAGTTGGTAAGAAAGGGCCAAGAAAATATCCTCCACACCATTACACCACCACCAGCCTGAAAATACAACGCAACAAATGAATGTGTTAAAGCAGACCTGTTATGCTTTTCCTCATTTTATGACTTATCAATGTTTATGACAATGTTATAATGTTGGATGTTCATGTTAAACATGGCCAAAGCTTCAAATAATGAGGTTAAAGTATTTATAAGAAATTTCTGTGAGCAAAACCTCAGGTTTCCTCCTGTTCTGAAAGCTCTGTTTTCAACGGCTTTTTCTACCAACGGCTCCGTAATACGACACACGGAGCCAGACGGAGCCGCTGTTCCATATATGGTCATTTGCTCCCACAGCAACACTCAGTCAGTCTGTACCGCTCAGCAACAACAACAGCCTGGTAACATGCTTCAGGTCTTGGCCAATCAGAAGACAGTGGGCCTTGAGTGGGGGGGGGCTTAAAGAGACAGGAGCATCTACAGCTTGTTTCAGACAGAGGCTGAAATGAAGGCCTACATGAAGAGCCAGAATAAGACAGAAAATAATTTTTTTGAACTTTGAGTCATGCAAAGCTGCCATACAAGAGTCACAGAACTACAGTATAGGACTGGAAGAGCAGTTTAATAGGTCTCCTTTAAAGGCTTATGAGACACGCTAAACAGCAGAAATACAGCATTCTTGTTACAAAATAATCCATCAGAAGTGGGTGCCTGCTTGAATTCGACTTGCTGGAACAAGCCAGGCTCAAACCCCTGTGTTGGTCGCCAGGACGGCTCCAATCGAATGAATGAGAGGGCTGCGTTTTTTCACACAGGACTAAAGTCGGTTTAAGGGTGTGGAAGTCATGGTGTTAGACCAGCATTTATAGTTCAAAACCGTAACCACAATCTTTCCCTAAGCTTAACAAGTGCATTAGTTGCCTAAACCGGACCTTGAAAATATTGACAATATACACAAGCTTTCCCTAACCTCAACCACACCACATTTCTCAGATATTATTAAAAACATTGTCTCTCATGCTGCATTCCTTTCACCTCGGAAGTTAGAGCTCAGGACTCGGAACGACGTCATATCAGTTAAAAACACAAGGAAATCCGAGTTGGATGCGTTTCAGTTGCCACACAACACGACAAGCCGGACTACAAGATGGACGTGTGGTTGTAGCAACAGCGACCATTGTTGTGGTTAGCGGCCTAGCCAATTTGAATTGATTCATCACTGGATCTGTTTGGTACCATTTTGCTTGAATGTTGAGAGATAGTCTCCTTTTCTGCATCTTTCATGCATCATGAACAGCAGTGGATTTATTTTTACATGCACAGTATAATATCTGATGTCGGCTGCTTACTGTACATTTTGCTAAAAGTCTTTTGTTTGATTTGATGGGGATACTTTTTATTTGATAGTTTGATTTGAAAGAGACCAAATCCAATATATTCTGATCCGGTTTTATAAAAGCTGCAGCATTTGACACTTTTGTTTAATTTTGCATGCCGACTGTGATTTTGTGCTGAGAATGAGGGGTGTCACATTTTGCAGAGTTTTGTACTTCGAGACTCAGTGAAAATTGAGTCAAAGCTTTATATAAAAAAAATAAAAAATACTGAGAGATAAAGAGAGCGAGAGAGACAGATACATGAAGATGGAGAGAGAGAGAGACAGATCAGCCTGCGTTACTGTCAAAGTGCAGCAGAGCGCAACCCACTCCTCCAGGGTTCAGCACATCACTCTCTGCTCTATGTGTATGTGTGTGTATGTATTTGTGTACAAGTTTGTGCATGTGTGACTGCAGGTTTCTACATGTATGAACTGGTGTGTTCATGTATTATGTGTGCACATCTTTCTGCATCTATGTGTGCTTGTTTGTCTGTGTTTGCATGCATGTGTATGTGGCCCCGGGCGGTGCACTGAGACTGTAAAGACTCCAGTACTGGTCCAGGAGTTACAGAGGGCTGCTGCTGCTGCTGCTGCTGTATCCTGACCTACATTGTCCTGCTGTTAAGACCGAGTCTCTTTAACTTCACTGCATCTTAACTTTCACATGTGACGTTATAACACAAACCACCACTATTACAGTTTTCTCATACTCAGCAGACATAATGACAGAGAGCCCTTTAGGGCGCGAGCTGTCCTTTTATGTCCTGAGCTGACAGAATGGTGACGCTCTCTGTTTAGCTCTCGATGTAAACTTACAGCCTCCTCTCAGCATTTTTATGTGAGATATCCACAAAGAGATTCTGTCTCATGATGCTTAAACATATACACGTATACACTGTATGGATAAAAGTATTGTGTTGAGAGGGGCTCTAAATGCTACAGCATCCAATTCTAGAAAATAGTTCTTCCAGCAGTTTGTGTTTTTCCTGTTTCAATATGACGAAGCCCACATGCACAAAGCCAGCTCCAGTGAAGAAATGGTTTTCCCAGTTTGGTGTGGAAGGCACAGAGCCCTGACCTCGACCCTATCCAACACCTTTGGGACGAACTAGAACGGAGATTGTGAGCCACGCCTTCTCTTCCAACATCAGTGTCTGAACTCACAAATGTTCATCTTAAAAGGTCCAGAACGAGATATTTCTATCTACATACAGTGTGGGTCCCCTTACATGGAAGTCGCCATGTTTCTACAGTAGCCCAAAAAGACAAACGGCTCTACAGAGCGCGTACTGTCAAATGGAGGAGCACATGTTTTATTTAGCACAAGAGCCGACAGAGCGCGTTGGCCACCGTAGATTCTCCTGCTCGCTTGCAAAGGGAGGGCTGAGCGGTGATTGAGCCGTTGGTTGCAATTTGTAACCGTCACCACTAGATGCCACTAAAACTTACACACTTGAACCTTTAAACTTTTAAGCACGGACTTGCCCGGTATGGGGGATGACGATCGATTTTTCACGCAAAAAGCAAATGAGTAATCCATGTCTGATCCTAGTATTTTGTCACCCTATTCATGCCACACAGCTCTGTGAAGCTGGAGGATCAGCTAGAATGTCAAACCAACCATTTTTATCTATACCAAACACACCTCAAACACCAAGCATCTAATTATATCACAACATAAATTGCTCTGTAAACACTCTACATGCCTTTAGTTATTGCCTTCCACATATCTCTAATCTCATCCTACACCGCTGTCCAACCACTCTAAAGAAAGCACAACCGCTGACTTACTTTTGCTGTTTTTAGCCCCAAAACAGCTGTTCTTTGTTTGTAAAAATTACGTCGGGCCGCTGTCTTGGTATCGCGCCTCTGATCACTTAAGTTTTGTTTCTCGCCACAAACTGAAGGAGAGAAGAAGTGTTGCTTTGGAACTGACGGTCTTTGTCATCATCTGCTGGCCGAGCCAAAAGAGCAACACAGACATCCCATCCACCAAACAATTCGTCTGCTCAAGACGAAGAGATAGAGCCCATTTACAGCCCTGTAGGCCTGATCTCAAGTTGTGGGCCTGTAAAGCATCGGAGTTCTTTTGGTCATAGAAATGTTTTTATCAATATTTCAGTTTTTTGGAAGCTTTATGTTATTTGGAACGTGGTTGTGTGGAGAGAAATTGTGTTTTGAAGAAAACTCCCAATAAAAGTGAACATTGTATAATAAAACTTGTATAATAACTGTTTTGTATTAGTTTCTTTTCATCAAATTTACAGTTACAGTTGTATTCCAGGTGTATTAGAATATATTCAGGTGCATTATAATCTACAGTATGATGGTTTTTATGGTGATATTTCTATTAAAATATAGATTTTATACCAGCCGAGGGTGAAAATACAGTATATTTTCCTTTATTTCATCTCCATTTTCTCTTTAATAGCAAAATAAATTGGTTCATTTACAGTTGATTCCTTATTATTCCTTAGCTTCTGAGCTATCAAAGGAGACCAGATGCACCAGATTATGCATCTAGGCCTAATGGTTGAGGAGTTATTACCGATTCATTTTGGGTATGTTATTCTAGGCGTTTAGCTGTTAGCTGCAAAAGGGGGACCAACTCCATTTTAATGCCTATTGATTTAGAATGGGATGTCTTAAAAGTAAAGTGTACTTCTGTCCATTTAGTGTATTTCTATCTATATTTATAGATAGATATATTCATATATCAGTATGTGTCATGGAGGGTTATTTCAACTCAGTAGAAGCTCTTTCCACTAATTAAAGCACCTTCAGCCACAATGAGAGGAAATAATCACTGAAATCTATTGCTGGAATAGACACCTCTCTTCTTTCCTGGTCTCCATCATATACATAATGGTTCAATGTTTTATCTTTTTATATAAAAGAGAGTGAATCATTTGCCACGTTATGTAACACAACTGTAGTCAGGCACGCCAAAAAGTTAGAAACCAAAAACCTTGTGCTGGAGGATGAACACCCACTTTGCCACTGTGCATTTATGTTACCTTTAGTCTTCATCAAAAGTACAGATACTATTTGTTTATTATACTGCAGAAGCAGGATAAAATACTGACCTTTGTAAAAAAAAAAATATATATATCTTTAAGAAAACATTAAAATTAATTGATTTCTCTACACCAGTGGAGCCAAATTGCAGCAGTATATAAAAAATACAACTTCTACACTTCTGCTTCCGGTCAAGCATTCCTCGGGGTTTCATTTTTTAACTTGTGCTTTGCGAGTACCGTCCAAACCTTGATATGAAGTGTTCCCTCTCGTCAGGCCAAGACTCATGAACCTTCTCATCACCGACACCGGGAGGAGCTGCACTTTGTGGATGAGTATGGCCAACCGATCACTATGCAGGTGGAGGCAAGGAGGGGGCATGGTCACAGGAGGAGGCGGTCCCATTGTACGACTGAGTGCAGCGCACCGACAGAGAGACACTGGGAGGCCCTGAGAGCTATGGGGCTGATGGATGGAGGGGAAGGCCAGGGAGACGGCTACAGTGCAGGGTAGGTACTATTGAAAGGCTGCGTGATGGGGGGCAAGATCTGGGGTACAGAGTTAGGGGTAAAGGGTTTTGGATCAGTTTGGAACAGGACTGATGTGACAGGAGTTATCCTTGGTAGAGGCACAGAAACAGCGGACATAGCAAGAAGCTTTTGAGATTTTATCAAAGCTTTTCTTTTTTGTGTTATTTGACTGTCAGTATTTTTATGTGAAGGATTATGTAGCTTTCAGTAAATACATGCAAATAAAGAAACCAATGGTTATGCAACTACTACTACAAATTATTATAAAAGACTTAGATTTAGGTGAAGCTTTGAAAATGGGTTGGACACAACGCTAGAGACTGTGGTAACTGGTTTCATACGTGTCATGTTTGCATCTGTTAGATCTGGGGTTATCTAAGTAAAGGGCTAACAGATAGAAGAGTGGAAATGGGATGAAACTTTGGACAATGATAACATTTTGTGAATGGGATAAAGATGTGTCTTTGAATCGGGGATTAGGTCAAATGTGGGTACTGTGGGCTAAATTCCCAGAAATTGGGTAAATAATTAGGAATTAAATATAAAGCTGGGATAGATGCCAAAGGTATGAACTGGGTAAAGACTTGTCTCTTGGGTAAACGGTTGGGAGTGGGGTACAAAATTGGGATTTGTGTAAAAATTTGGGACTTTTGTCAAAGTTTGGGAACAGGGTATAGGATTGTAAATTGGGATAAATGGTCAGGAGTGGGCTAAAACGTTGGGACATGGTTATCATTTTGTGAATGGGATGGAACGTTTGGAACTAGGGTAAAAATTGTGTAATGATGAGAATCTGGGACCAGGGTAAAAGTGTACAAACGGGTTTTGGGGGCAACTTCAGTTTGCAAGGTCGGGCATGATTATATATGGATGAAGACTATAAATATCCATAGAGGAATTTACATATCATTGATCATAACATTTCCAGTCATGGACATCGGAACAATACATACACCTACATGATCTGAAGGTGCACTTTCTGCCTTATAAATTCTACACAGGCCTTACTATGGTCACATGACCGTGCCACCTGACCTATACTCCGCCAGCAGTCGCATGATGATGTCGCCTGATGTCTATCCACCCAATGGCTACCTGTCCAGATCATTAAATGACCAGCACCCAGGAAACAACTACCTGCCCAGCGTCTCCTACAGCTTAGATCACCTGGACAGACTGGACTACCAGGTGATTTCTTGTGCTGTATTCTGATCTCACTGTTTGTGTCTGTTCTCATTCATTTTACAGATTACTACTATACGCTACAGAAATACTCAATTTACATTGTTTTACTATTCCAGGGTCCAGAAATGTTACCATACCAGCCTAACTCAGAGAGCTGTCTGATTGGCTGCTACAACACGGAAGAGGTGGAGCCTAAGGATTTCCCCAGACAGGTAGCTAATTCCAGTGATTTGCATCACTACCATTTTATTTCTCAGTATCAACTCTGCGCCCTCGTTCTGCTCCTCTGCCATTTTTTTAAAGTTAATTTAAGTTATAATTTCATGTGGGTAAATTTAGCATGAATGCTGATTTGGTGCATCCTTGGTACTTGTCTAATAATGGACTTTTAAAAAAGGTCATATTGGGTTTTTTGGGTTTATCTTTTTGTGCATGTAATAGGTTTGCAAAGTTAAAAAGTCCACCCCAAAGGGAGTTCCCATCTCCCACAGAAAACTCTGCTCTGAACTGCCTGAAAACAGCTAGATTGTAGTCCAGCCCTTACTTCCGTAACTTATCTGCATCACTATCTACCACGCGGCATAATGCGTGCCTAGCGGCTAGTGTCGCATACCCTCAACTAAGCTAGTTAAATGTGAAATGAAAAACATTTTAACATCCTGCTCCAGTCCAGGTTATGAAGCAGGTTCGGGTCCATTCTGCCCGTCTTTCGGGATCAGACTTGGGCTTGAACATGTTCGGCTGAACCGAAGCCGAGGTCACCGGCTGAAACGGTTTTGTTTTGGATCACACTACCTTGCTAGTCAGGACCCGCCCTACTCTGCTTCTGATTGGCCAGTAGCCCTTACCTAGGTACTGCACATGTCCAGCTCCCAACAAAGATGCATCACTCGGTAGCTAAAATCATGCATTCAACACGCAATGTGCAGTATAACAAAAGGTGTTTGTTGAAAATGAAACCATGTAAACCTGTTCTGGTACAACCTCTAAATGAAATCATGAACCTGAAAATCAGACCTCTTAAATAAATTAAATTGAAATTCTCTTACTTTGTCTTTAGTCCGACTATCGCCCTCCTTGGCGGTCTGATCGTCTTCTTGGATACCTCCCACTGAGTGAGCTCGACAGTGGGCTGGGATGTGGACCTGACAGCCCTCACCACAGGATGGCTCTCTCCGAGGCCGAGACGGACGCCATGTCGTCGCTGCCAGGTCACACCGCTTCCTCCCAAGGCTCCTCCTCTTCCTCCGAGTCCCTGATCTCCTCTGAACCCAGTGACTCGGGCTTCCACAGCGTCAGCACCGGGGAGCACAGACGACTGCATAAGATTCATGGAAGCCACGCCCACCGACAAACTCACCATCTTCGCTCAGGCCACTCCCCTCGAGAGCAGAGAGGACGCTGGGATTTGGAGTCCATCCCAGAGACGTCTCAGATGACTCACTCCGGAGCACCACAGGCGTCCCGCTGCACTGTGGGTAACAGCACGACCACAACAGTTCACTTCCACAGAGCTGAGAGGAGTCCCACCTTACCTCGCCACCGTTCCCCGCCTTCCCCTTCCATTGGTTAGTAACGCTCTACAAATCATTTCCTAATCTATCCATCTAGTTAGTTGGTTTGGTTTTGAAGCCTCCAGTTTGGCATTGTGCCCGTCGACATCTTGGATTGTGCATTTGTAATTCACATTAACTGTGATATTAATTGGGATGCTAATTTTGGCTAGCGGCAAACAGGGTTAAAACAAATGAAGAAAGAAGAACAGCCAACGTGACTTTAAGTACAAACGAACGCTGAAGACATTTTTAGTCGACCAAAAGACAAAATTACTGACAGAACCCAAAAACAAGTTCATGGATAGTTAAACGTACACAGAGCAGCGGATACGTGAAGCCTCTATCCTGATTGACAGGTCACCATGGTAGCGACCTTTCAATCACAAGGTAGCCCCGCAGTAGAGCCTCTAAATGGGACCATAATTTACTAAATGAACATCATGCTGTGTTGAAGAAGACTTGAAACTAGCGACTGAGACCATAAACTCATCAGGAAAGTGTTTACTGAGGGAATAAATCAGCTGACAAGTAGAAACATTTTCTCATAGCCTCTAATGCAATCAGACTTCTTTTGGCAGCCGATGGAGTCGCCCCCTGCTGGCCGTTAGAGAGAATGCAGGTTTTAATGCTCTTCAGCACTGGCTTCACTTTTCAGATCCCGGAAGTTCCTGCTTGGTCTATACATACTTACAGTATATGATTGTCAGGGAACATACTTAAAGGTTTGCATGTGAGTATCTACTGTATGTTCAAGGCTTGGTTTTGTTAAAAAGTCTGGGATAGGGTTGTCAGCTAGAATATAGCAAGTAAATATAATTCAACAAGTATGGACACACTTCCCTGAATATGGGAAGCTTGACATATCGCTAATCTGAAGATACTTACACTGAGATCCTAGTTGGCGATCACACTAGATCCTAAAAGTGAGGTGCACCATGATGCTTTTGCTCCCTGCAGCCAGAGTTGTCTTGCTGTTAACTAGGCACGCATGATAAGCTAGAAACAGCAGCTAGGTACAGTAAAGCAATCAGAGTTCATCACCAATGTTTAAGCTGTCTGTTTAAAATATCTCCTGCTGGTCAGCAACAAGAGCAACTTGGCTTAACTTTACTTGTTGTTGACGTTTCAGTTTCGCAGACTTGTTGCTGCATGCTTCTGAATTGAAAGCACAGAACATACCGTAGCATAACATTAATCCATTGGACAACTTTGGGACGAACTTGAATGCAGTATTTATTGGCAGAACATTAACCTTTGGCAGTTGTGTGAATTAAGATCCAAGAAGCTACAAGTCCCTTGTTGAGACACTTCCACAGTGTGGGTGAACTGTTCGGTGTCCAACGTCGCAGTTTTTTAGGCATTGAGTGCAGTTTCCCTTTGCAGCAAGAAGTTCTTGTACTAATGCCTAAATGGAGATTTATGCATTTGGAGATGTCAGTACTTGGGACCTGATTACTTCTTTCTTTCTGCAGGTTGTCATACTGAGCCCTGCCAGCGGAGGGCACTGTGGTTGGAACAGCAGCAGGGAGGAGGCAGGATAATAGAGGCTCCGGTGCGAAGTCGAACAATAACAGATCTGAGTGAAGGACAACCCCGCCGCAGGGCCAGTCACCCCAACATGGCGGATCCAAACAGACTCCAGAACAGCCAACCGGGTACAGCCAACAACATGCTGGGGCCGAGGAGCAGGGCCAGTTATCCCAGCAACTCTCATCCCACCAGTCACCTCAGCATAGATAGAACGAGTCTGACCAATCATCAGAGCATACAGAGAAACAGCCAGGGCACAAACCGGAGCAGAGAGGAGGACTCCCTCTCTAAGAGTCCTGGATCTGGCTCGAGCGGAGCGTCAGAATGGCGAGGCGTTCAGACTCTCGGGAATCGCACAGGGAACCCTAAAGGCTCCTCTGTTCCTTTCTACAGCACACTGGGAGCCCCACAACGTCCCCCTCACTCGCCGCCCTCTCCCCGCTCCAGACTGTCCAATCAGAAGTCCGTCAGAAACCAGCTGCTCAGAGCCCGAGCTTACCGATTGGCCAGGGAACGCAGTGAGGTCACAACAGATGAGGAGGTGCGAGGAGAGGGCGGGAGGGAAGGCGAGGAGGAAGGGGAGGACGGCCGATGGGCCGGGCGGTACTGGAGCCGGACCGAGAGGAGACGCCACCTGGCGCTGTCGCGGCAACACAGAGAGAGGAGAGGAGGGGGGGAGGAGCAGGCTGGGGGCCTTCAGGGGTCGCTGTCGTCTCAGACGGTGCTGGAGCTGAGCCACATGAAGCAGAACCGACTGAGGAACAGCAAGCTGCTGGATGATTGGACAACAGTAGAGGAGCTGCTGACTCACGGGACACGAGTGGAGAGCGACAGCCAGCTATGTCCCAGCCCTCTGTTATCGGTTACTACTGTCTGACGGGAAAACCTCTGACACACAATCCCACGGTTGGTTTCAGCTGATTGAGGCGAATTCTCCAATCCAAACTCAGCAAACCTGGGTCCAGATTCATTAAAGGATTACGTGAAGTGAAAATATGTGCACTAAAATGACTAAATCAGAAAGATGAGTTTGAGTTTAACTCAATATTGTGGTGACAGATCATGAATCTACCAATTACATATAAATCACCTTGTATTTAACAGTGTATCCACAGGCTTGTGTGGCAAGAACACACAGAATCCACACACATGACACAAGTCAGTAACTATTGTAGTGGATCTGGAATCTTTTCAAAGGAAGCATTTGTGGAAAGAGATAAAAATATTGAGATGTTTATTAGTAACATCTGCTAAATTCTCTTCAACACACAGCTCCGATCCTCGCCGGAGCAGCTGCCGTATTGCAAATGTTGATAGGCTCTTACTTGTGATGTGTAACCAATCAGACATTGAGCAAGACTACAGAGTGGTGATTACAAAACCCCGGATCAATCCGAACCGTGGGTTTTGTAATCCGTGGCACACGTAGTGAAGCAGCACTGATCACTTTGTGGGGTGCGTACATTTTGTCCTCACCGATAAAATTATATATTTAAACCTGAAAGAGCCCACTCTGCATGTTATCTTCATGTTAGCTTCGCAGCAGCAACTGTAGCGACAGTTTGCTAACGCACACCTTAGCGAACGCTAGTTACATTACATTCGGTGTCATAGTTCATTCTGTGTCATGGTAGTTGTCATTAAAATGGATCTCCCCAGAATCGCTTACTCCTCCTGTAATGGTAGACGCTCACAACGCGTTTTTAATGCCATCATGTTTACTGTCATTCCAAGTCTGTCCAAGTAATCACAGCCTTCGGTGTCACAAAACAATGCTTATTTACTCGGAGGGTTAGATGTTATATAGAAAACCCGCTAGCTAGATGGCTCATTAGCTCATGTAATGACTTACTTAAATCAGGAAGTCTCATTGAGGTCCAGATCTCTTTTTCAAAAAGTGAGACAACCAAAAGCATTCCAGAGATAGCATACTGTATAAGAGCTTGTTTGCTAGCAACAGCGAGAGCCAGAGGGAGTCAAACGCAATCATACAGTTGATGTGAAGGTGGAGATCCAAAATGATGAGCTAAAAGAGGCATAAAGTTGCACAGAGCTGCAGAATATTAGTGTCTGGTGGCCTTTTACGTTGCACATATGCAATATGAAAATGAAATGGATGCTCGAGGACATGAGCAAACAACGAAATTAACCTCAAATGACACAGAGAGCATAATTTGATCTTTAATTGAACTCTAATTTCAAATATACAATTAAATTAGACTTAAACTGCAAAATTAATGAATCTGGATCTCAGTCATGTTATTTATTGTCTGACAGAAAGTTCTGACTTAGGGCCCGTGTCCACCAAAGCGTTTTTTTCTGTTGATTCCAATAGGAGCGCCACGTTTTTCCAAGCTGGTAAAAATGGGAAAAAAGCTGCGCTCGTCACTGTCACTTTTCACCCAGCCGTCCAATCACAGTGCAGGAGGGGCGGGACAAACACGAACCGAGCACATCTGATCTTGAACGAAACGATGCGCCTCCTCGCCTGCAAAATATCATGAACCCATGTCTGTGCTCTCATGTTTCAGCCTTCTCTTCATGCAGAGCAAGGGCCAGAGCAAGCAGGCCTAGTGTACTTTGTGGTGACATTTTTACATTCACTAAAATTAAGTAGGCTACCCTACTTGCAACACATCGCCTCCACGGAAATTATGTGTCATAGCACAGCGTCTCGAAAAAAAAACCTGCGCCTCCAAAAGGCACCCTAGCGCTCCCAGCTAGGCGTTTTCAGAACAGCAGGTGGCGTTTTCAGCTGGACACAGACCCTTACTGTTAATGAGCAAAGTGCTTTGAGTGGTCAGAAGACAATAGATTATACGAGTACAGTCCATTTACCATTTACTTTGAAGTGTCTCTTCAAACAGGTCAAGAACTCCAACGGGAGAACTGAAAAACGTGGCCAAAGCTACTACTGGGGCTCAGGAGAAAAATCACCAACAAGCTATCGGTATAGGTTGAACTGAACATACATCACAGTGTGGAAAATCATAAGCAACCTTGGAAAAACTGATTTAATCTGAACTGACTTTAAACCAACTCTACCGTCTGACAAGAACCTCTAATCCAACACTTGCTGTAGAAACTGAGTTTCTGCAGGTTTGTACAAGTAAGAGGAAACTAAAGAGCTGCATGAGCTTCAGACTCTGCAGCGTTAACAGACTCACAGGGTGGACCTGTTGGATCTTTCACACACCAGACCGCCTGTGACTGGTCTGAAATATCACACCATCGGTTGTGTTGCCTTGTGGAAAAGTGTCTCCATCTCCTTTTCTGGTTTTACTGCCTTTTTTCCGTCTCTGTGCCATAAAATGTTAAGGTCGACTCTGATATTACAAAACTGTTGGGAGGTTCTGCTCGTTTTAAGCTTGTTAGAGGATTTCTGCACCTTTATGATCAAACAGCCTCTAAATCCCCTAAGACACTGTTGTTCTTTTTCAGTCGCCACTTACGCCGTTTTTTCCTGGGTGGTTTACCGTTTGAATCTACCTGCACTCTCACAGCCTTGGAGTGTAAATAAATGAGACGCTTCAGAGAGACAGAAAGTCTCAGCACTGTGTGCCACTGGGTTTCTTCTAGTTGGTTCCTAGTATTCTGCTGCATTTAGTGATGACAGCTGTCTGATGATGATTTACACATCTAGCAAACGATGCTTGGCCTGGTGTGCCGTTTGTCATGAATTAGAAATCACTATTCATTATATTTAAAGGAGTAGTTTGAAATTTCTTGCAGAGAGTTAGATAAGGACATTGATACCACTCTCATGTTTGTATGTTAAATTCAAAGCTACAATACAGCTTGAATCAGTTAGCTTAGCACAACGACTGAAAGCAGGGAGAAAGTTAGCCTAAAGGCTAATATATTCTTCTGGGTCGAATGCACGCCATAGGTACGCTGAAGTCAGACGCGCATCTACACAGAAATGTAACTAGAAGTTGCGGCACTGCAAGAACTGTGACTGGTTAGTTAGGTAGCATCGCATTTCCTCCAAACCCCCAGGAAGTGCTCCAAGCCATTTTCTCATTAACTTACATAGTGAAAGAAGCAACCGTGAAACTGTGGATAATTTTTGTTTAAGAGTCACAACCCCACAAAATGACCCGTTTTAATTTCAAGAATTTTATCTATTTGGTCCGAAAACATTTGGAAAGTCTAGAAGAGCTGCACGATTAGCATTTTACCCACATTCGAGTTAGCGGAGAGCTAAAGGTAGCCAGCTCGACTGGTAGAACCCAATGGACCGCATATATTGGACAGACATAACGTGCTGGACTGGTAGGCAGATTTTATTTACCTTTGAGATGGAGCTATGCTAGCTGTTTCCCACCATTTCCAGACTTTATGCTTAGCTAAGCTAACCAACTGTTGGCTGTAGCTTCCTACTTAAGGCCAATTTATACTTCTGCACCAAGTCTAGTCGTAGGGTATGTGCCATCGTGAGCGTATATACTTTTACAATTACCCAGCCAAAACGCTAGTGGGGTTTCTATGTTCCACTGTGTTGAGTTTCTTCTTCTTCTTCGTTGGTGTAGGCTGCTACAAACAGTGGCGACGGAAACTGAGCAGATCATGTTGGAGTTGGAGTAGATCAATGTTGAGCAGCAGTTACCAAGAGTGAAGTTACCAAAACTCAGAAACATGAGAAGGCGCCGGAGGAGATGGTATGTACGACCCTTGAACCGGTTGAGGCAGATGACGAAGGACAAATCGGAAATGTGTACGAGGAATTGCGAATCTACCAAGTCGACCGATCACAGTTCTTGAAGTCTGAGTCGCCGTGACGTGTCGTTACATTTTTGGGGAGGTGCGCATCAGGCTACCGCGCAGGCTCAACGCAGAAGCATAAATTGGCCTTGAGTTGACAGGTTGTTCTCAGACTTCTCAAGCAAATATCATATTGTTCTAACTTTCTCATTCTATTCCTTACAATTGTTTCAGTTCCTGACATTTGTGAAAACACACTTAACTACCTACAGTATACCACACCTGAAGTGGTAACAGATGAAAGAGACTTGGTACATATCACTATCATACAAATTGGTTACAAAATGAGATATCAGCAGCTACTACAACCAAATGATAGAACTTTTTTCATCTACTAACTTTTATCCAGCCTGTCAGATTCAGTGATGGAATTCTGATCGGTTTATTCTTTCTTTTAAAAAAAATATCAGATCAGATTCTTTTAAAATCAAGTCCGTTACCTTATTCTATGTGTAAAGAGTGAAGGAGTACCGGCTCACAACAACACGAGTTCATCAGTTACCCTTAGTGGTATTATACACTGGGCTGCTCTAAGTATGTATGATGACAGGCACCTTTGAAAGCAGTGGGTGTTTGGATTAATCTGAGAAATGTTCATCAGGGTTAAATGTAATAATGTGTTAAAATGGTGAAACTGTTCAATGCAATTTTGTTAAAAATAAGAAAATGTCACTTTATTTTCGTATTCTGTCAAGTTTGGGGACATGAAATCCTGAGGACAGTTTTCAGGTCATGAAGTTGGACTCGTCAAATGAATATATTTAAGGGTTTCTTTTTCTAAACTATGCTTGTGTGTGTGAGTGTGTGTGTGTGTGTGTGGTCATGCAAGAAAAAGAATATAAAGTTTGATACTAACTTGTCAGTAGTGTTTAGCCAAAGATAGAGTGTAATTTTGGTTTGTGGACAATCTAGGACAGCTATCACTGTACGACGTAAAAGTATATTTTATAACCATATTACTTTTTATATGCTTTATTTTGCCTTGAGTAGATTACTTCTGCTTCTCGCCAACACCCTGCTATGCTAGTGTATGTACGTAGATGTTAGTGTACAAGCAACTGTTAGCATAAACAAGCTTTTTTAGCACAGTCTAAACCTAGCATGCTAACTCCTGATTAGCACAGAACAAGCATTTCAATGATTGCCTGAAGTGTCTATAAGTGTCTAAAGTCATTGTCCTTCATTTTGTCCCCAGACTGGGCTTTTATTTTGACAATCTCAGAGGAAAAGATGCTCTAAAACCACATATATTATCTAATCTGTTAAATTAAACCTGAGTGGATGGAGACAAATAATTATGCTTGTGCAGAATTTGATTGACCAACAAAGATTGACCAAAAAATATGAATAATTTTGTGAAGCATGCAGCGAACTAACTACTTATCTCAGCTAGTTTCAAATGTGCATCTATGTGGTTTGCCAGAACCTGTGAGACCCTGACCTCTTAGAATTATTTAAAAAAGGGAAATAAGTTTTTAGGTAATGTAATAACTGTGATTCTTTAAATATTTCTTTTTTTTCATCTATTTGGCAATTGTTCAATTGTTTAACATTTAGAGGGAATGTGCAATGTGCTTTCTTTTTGAGCGTTAGATAAAAATATGAATATCAATCTCACCTCTGTGTGTAAAGCACAGAGATGGAGTCAGGACATGCTTAGCCTAGCTTAGCATAAAGACTGAAAACAGGGGTAGACAGCTAGCCTGGCTCTGTCCAAAGTTCAGAAATTCTCCTAACAAACTACACATTTTCACTTCCAACTCGTTAAATCTATAGACTCCTGATCAAGACACCTTGGCGTGGTTTTTAACAGCCAGGGTACGCTTTTGGGTTGTTTTTGGACATGTACGGCTCTGCGGTCAAGTTAGCAATAATAAATATGCCACTTCCTGTTAGACTGTAAAACGTCGCAATTTGGTTAGGTTTAGTAAAAGATCATGGTTTGGGTTTAAATAACTACATTACTGACGTGACTTGAAGTAACACTTCTAAGTTAAGTATTGCTACTTGCGTAACTTCACTGAAATTAATCAATGTTGACTTTTCCCTTAGTCATAGTTCAACGCAGTGGGGAAAGCCCTGTAGCATAATTTATGAAGGCAGGTGTAGGATATAAATAGCTGAAGAGTCAGAGTAAAAGGAGGTGGTTGGGGTGGACGCAGGGCCAAAAACCAGACTTTCACCCAGCTGACTGGAGTCTGTTGTTTACTTTACACATCCATTTAGCGTTCATAGATGACAGTAGGGCTTCCACAAGTGTGTTGAACTATGGCATTACAAACTGACACCAAGGGGTCTTGATCATGCGTCCTTATGTGACGACGTGGGAGTGAGAACGCCTCTAAAGCTCACGGATTAACATGCCGTACCTCGTTTATTTAATCCATCCGCAAACAGACATGCAAAAATGATAATTTGTAGTTGTAAGGGGGAAGTATTTTTTGAATGACAGTGAATCCATTACCTATATAGCGCAAGTTGCCAGATAAAGTCAGTGAGCATAGGTTTTGGTTTTGGTGCATGCACGATGGTACCATTGTTGAAGAAAATATTGTGAGCCAGGTTCAGGTGTGAAGAAGTTTTGGAGAATGATAAAGACTTAACATAGCATTGTTAAGGAGACACAGTGCCAGCAGACAACATGTGAACACGTCAAATGCCAATGCCAAATCTGAAGGATAACGTCTTTCGGTCCCTTTTATGTTTCTGTCTTCACCCTAGTGCCTGGAGGTTTCTCTATAAGGTCATCTTTAGCTGGCTTTAACCTAGAACAACAAATCTGTCTGATCTGATGTTTAGACTCCAATGCTTCATCACATTGGAATCTGTTACTATCCATGAGTTGTACTCTAATCTGTGGAGCCAGTGAGTTCTTGTAAACATTCTTGCAGGACTCAACCTTGTAAGATTCCCAGAGAACACTGAGGCCCCATCCACACTACTGCGTTTCAGAATTAAAACAGAGACCTTTAGCTACGTTTGCACCTCCCGTCCAGACTACAACGACGAAAACGAGGACCTAAAACGGAGAAGTTTGGAAACGCTGCCGACCCCGTTCTGCATTTCAACTCTGGAGGGCGTTTTAGTGAATACAGGCCAAAATAGAGGAGAAACGATGACGCAACCGCTCACGCTCGGCTCTCTGATTGGGTCTTGCAAAGCAGAGACATGATGCTGCTGACCGGGTTTTTGACATCATATTTTTATTAAAATATTCTGTACCGTGCAAATAACACTCATCTGCCTACACTTGTACTGTGCATGTCGCCGTTTACCAGTGCAACTGAACGGGTCCCAGCCGTTCAACTCCAAAAGGCAGCGGAAACACTTGTGTGGACAGATCGTATTCGTTTTAATTCTCCGTTTGTAAACTAAAACGGAGTAGTGTGGATGGGGTCTGATACCTGCTAGCCTGACGCCTGAACTGCTGTCTCTAACTAATCAGTCTATTGTTGTCTCCCTGACAAGGACAAGTCCATGTGAGAAATACCTAAAGCTAGAATGTCAGAAAACACTTATGGGGTCAGCTAAATTACTCTAAGTGAGACCTGTCTTACAAAGCTTTCAACAAAGCCCCTTAAGAAATATTCTCAACAGTACCAAACCTGGCAGCCTGAACATGACAACAAGACTTAAGGAGTTGTTTGAAAAGAAATCGTTCTCACACAAACTGATGTATTCACGTTGATATTTACGTACAGATTAACCAAGATATAAACGTGTTAATTAGTGAGATTTTAGAGGTCTTGGTAGGCTCCCGTCTTTATGCTAAGCTAGGCTAACCATGCTCTGTATTTAACATACAGGCATGAGATTAATATTCATCTTCTTGTCTCACTCTCAGATTAAAATGTTGAATAATTCCTTTTAAAGAATGAATCTGAGTGGGTGTGAGGTTTTAAAAGCTAACTTTACTTTCACTTCTATTTAACATTTTTTTGTCTTGAGGGTAAACGGTAGAAAGCAAAAAAAGAATTTCTTTACAAAACTCTCGACTTGAAGTAAATGTTATATAAACCTTAAAGCACTTGAGATTATGCTCTTCAACGTTTGTGAACTTGGTCCTGAATCCTAAATTGTCTTTGTTTCTTTCAGGGCTGTGTGCAATAATCAGAGGTCTAGTTGCCATACTGCTGGCCTGCAGTCTGTTGTTGGTCAGCTCTGAGGGACTGTGTCCTTCTGTAAAACTGCATTGTAACGTCTTGTGCTCAGGTTTGTGTCTGTATGATGTCAGGAAGGTGATGAGAAGATGAGACAGGGAGGTGGTGTGCGACTAGGGTTGGGTATCATTTCAATTACATCGATTCTGATTCCAGTTATAGAATCCGGTTCTTATTGAATCTCGGTTCTGATTCAAACCCCTTCACCACGAATCTTATCAGCACTAGAGGGGCGTCTCTGGGGACTCGTATCTAAGGGCGCTTTCACACTGCCTTATTGTCCGGGAGTATTACGGCAATATGCCGACTTGCCACACTGTATGAAAGGTACAGAGCCGGAAAAGGGGGTCAGATTTGATCCGTCTCGGAGCCGGTAACATTGAATTACGCGTAATGGTAATCCGGAAAGCAGGATTGCCATGCGGGATTATGCTGGCAGCGTTTGGTCAGTGTGAATGAGCGAATGCAGCATATTTTCTTTCCATGTTTACTGCAAGATCTCTGTATGAAAGCGGCTTGAGAAAAATATATATTGAATCATTTGTAGCCATCGTCGGTTTCCCTTCAGTATAAAAGGTGAACGTCAGCCCACCTGTGTTTTGTACCTGAGACGTTGCTACTGTTAGCGTTAGCTGTATCATTGTAGCTTGGAGAGCGTGACACGGCGCGTTCCTTCAGATTCACGCCATGTTGAAGGAAACGCTTCGTCATGTCGGAGCTGCTTCCTCCCTCGCACCAAACCTCCTGACTGCAGCTGTTGCAGTTTTTTAGTGAATCTAAGCCAAACTTTGGAGCGTTTGCTGCGGTCCGCCACGGTCCAGGACTCTCTTCTTGATGCTTTGTGGCAAATAGCAGATAAGACGCACTTTGATGGACAGTAAAATGCTCACTTCAGTTCAGTCAGGAGCTGAAATGGGCAGAAAGTTAGAAACAAAATCCAAACGGTTCTTGGAAATTTGGTAACAGCTCCAACTTGGAACCGATTCTCGATACCCAACCCTATGTGCGACAGGGAGGTGTTTTGTATTTCTGTTTTGTTTTTCCATGCCGCCTTGTGACCTCACAAATGTACATGACGTTTCAATCTCGATGTCCATGAGAGAGATTTTTGATGGAAGTTTAACTTCACCCAGAACTCATGTAAAAAACAATGTCAGTAAACTGTGAACATTTAAATTTCCTTGCTGTGAGTTTTGCTTTCTGTGAATTTAATGGGTCCATGCTACTTTAAACTTCTACATGACTACATTCAGAAGGAAATATTGTACATTTAAATTCACAACATTTGTCCAAGTTACTTTACAGTTTCAGACTTTCTACAAAAATCAAACAAACTTGTGATCCATTTAGGGCTGACCACGAGTAGTTGAAGAGCCTATTACAATATACATTTCAACATAATGCTGTAAATAAAAATGTGAAAACAAAGAAGCTTTTAATAAATGTTTTAAAAGTGTTTTTAAAAAAAAATCTTAAATTATAACCTTAACCCTCAAGGAAGGGGGTCAATGCGCATGTGTGGTTGTAGCTTGTATGTGTGTGTGGATGTGTCGGTATGTGGTTACCAAAGACAGGGACTCGAGTTTGAGACTCGGACTCGGGGTGCGGGACTCGTGAACAGTGTTTATTTTTAGGAAACGTCTGATGAGCTTGCTCCTCTCCCTCCCTTACCTGTAACCTGCCTACGAAACACTTCAGTATCAGCTGAGCGAGGCCGCACGTGAGAGAGGACAACAAACAGCGGCAGCTGCTGAGCCGTTCAGCATAAACTTTGGCTTTAAAACTTCATACAACAAGACCCAAACAAAGAAGCGCTTAACGCAAAATAGGTTCAGTAACTTGAGGTTAGTGAACACGTTTAGCTCAGCATTGGCCATCTAACGTTAGCTTGCTTCTTGCTTCAGCTACGACCTACGGGAGGTTAACTCAGACGGTCGTTCGCTGTGAAAAGATGAATGAGCGTTTGTTTACTCGTGGTGGTCGATTAACGTAATCATTTACGTCCCGCTGGCTGCCATCATGTTAATTATTAGCATCGGCTGCAAACAGGTTACAAGTTTATTGTTGATCATGTGACGTTACAGTTTTATTTAGTTAATGTTACCCTGGGTTTGAGAATCTGGTGTTGTGTTGACTCATTAAATGCATTGCACGTTACATAGTTGTGCTCTGTAAGTGAAAAACAGGTTACAGTTACAGAAACCCTTATAACTCTGCAGTTTTATGAGCAGCTTGGATTGAACGCAGCAGCTGATACAACATTCACTGTAACCACGTGAGACTTGACTTGGGACTCTAATTCAAAGACTTGACACATGACTTGAACTCTAGCTCGACTTAGACTCTAGCTCAGAGACTTGAGACTTGACTTGGACTCCAGCTCAGAGACTTGACTTGGACTCTAGCTCAGAGACTTGAGACTTGACCTGGACTCTAATTCAAAGACTTGACACTTGACTTGGACTCTAGCTCAGAGACTTGACTTGGACTCTAGCTCAGAGACTTGACTTGGACTCTAGCTCAGAGACTTGAGACTTAACCTGGACTCTATTTCAAAGACTTGACACTTGACTTGGACTCTAGCTCAGAGACTCGAGACTTGACCTGGACTCTAATTCAAAGACTTGACACTTGACTTGGACTCTAGCTCAGAGACTCGAGACTTGACCTGGACTCTAATTCAAAGACTTGACACTTGACTTAGACTCTAGTTCAGAGACTTGACACTTGACTTGGACTCTAGCTCAGAGACTCGAGACTTAACCTGGACTCTAATTCAAAGACTTGACACTTGACTTGGACTCTAGCTCAGAGACTCGAGACTTGACCTGGACTCTAATTCAAAGACTTGACACTTGACTTGGACTCTAGCTCAGAGACTCGAGACTTGACCTGGACTCTAATTCAAAGACTTGACACTTGACTTAGACTCTAGTTCAGAGACTTGACACTTGACTTGGACTCTAGCTCAGAGACTTGACTTGGACTCTAACTCAGAGACTTGAGACTTGACTTGCAAAATTCAGCACAAGACTGGTGAATGGCAGGACGAGCAGAGAGAAAATGGTCAACGTAAGACTCAGATTAGCTGTAAATGCACAGTGTAAGTTACACTGACTAATGTTACCACCACCCTCCCACCCCCACAATAGACAATTCTGATTCGACGATATAAATCCTTAGTCGGGGACAGGCCTACATCAGTTTATAAAATGTGTTCCAATTTAAGTCTCTGAAAGGGACCATTCTGATCAACAAACATTTGTACTTCAATAATTTAAAGAATATTTTACTGTTAATATTTCTGTACTTTTACTTAAGTGAATATATACAATATTGTAATTTTGCTGAATCTAATATGTTAATAAATGGAGACGACTTAATTTGAAGGAGATTTCAGTGACACTTTATTTCAGAGTCAGTTATTTCCCAATGATTTCTTAGGAATTTTTTTAATATTTGTTTTAATTCATGAAGTCGTTGCCCTCTGGCACAATTTTATCCTGCATGATATAAACAGACACATTTGAATACTGAGAGGCTAAATATAGACACTGTTTTATTATTAAATAGGTATTTAAACATTCTTCTTATCGCCGCAGCCCTGACATTTGGAGACACAGCGAGAGTCTGCAGTTAGTGGAGACGAGACGCTCTGCTGAGTTCATAAATTTAGTGGACAGCTGCGTCTGAAAACGCCTAATGCTAAAGCTTTGGGGGAATCAAAGCATGATGGGAAAACAGAAACACATGGTGCCTCCCAGTTCCTTTGAAAGGACACGACCCCACAGCTAC